TTTAATGAATAATTAATGATTTATTATTTATAATTTATTTTATATTGATTTTAATATTTTCTTTTCTTTTTTTTTTTCTTTAAAGCAACAAGCAAACCCCGAGGGTCGTCCACCAACATATCCTGAGGTCTAAACCAGCAGAAGGCAGCACAAAGGAAAAGGAAAAGACCAACTGCCTGTATATTGTAATGATGAGGCTCAAGAAATTAGAGTAAGTATTTAACTTAACAATTTTATTTTAAATTGTGTCATGAATTAATTGAAATTATTTTAATTATAATATTTAAACTATTGTACAATATAATTATTGGTAAAAAGTTAGAACTCCATCCTTTTAGGGGAGAGTAAATTGAATTTAGGTGCCTAAAGTGATATTTTTAATTTCACTTTAATTTTCAATACAATTAATTATTTATTTTGTCTTATATTATTTTAGGAAAAATTGACAGCTGAATATGCTACTAGACAAGAGGAAGAAGGATTTGACCCTACAATACCTCATGCTGAGATATTACTTAGGGCAACTGGTGGGGTCAAGAAAGGATGGTTGAAAGGTTTGGATATTCACACACATCTATAGGATATAGGTGTGAGTACATCTAGACGAGAACCATTCAGGACACCTATTATAGGACAGTCTAATAGGGTTATCGAATTAGAGCAGACTGTTGAATCATTGAAGGCAAATAATCATAGCCTTCGACAAAAAATGTTTAACGTTTTGGCAGATAATGATAGCCTACGGCAGCAACAATTGACCCTTGCGACACAGATGCAGCAACTCTACCAGCATTTTGGGATGACCCCAGCGGATACAAGTGGGACAGTCACCCCTAGGACACCTCGAGATATTTAGGTTTTTCATATTTCAATTAAATATTTGTATTGACTTTATATTTGTAATAGATATTGGAGACTTATATATTTATACTAAATTTAAAAAAATTTCTAGCATTTTATATGATAAATATCATAAATTATATGAAAATAATTCAATATCATAAAATTATGTAAGGAATATCGAATTAAATTATTTTTTATCGTTTTTTTTCTTTAAATGATATATAAAGACCGATGACGGTCCGTATATACCTATACGGACCGGTATCGGTCCGTATATGACCGCAACAGCAACTTTTTTTTTCTAGATTACATTTCGTGAACTTTAAAATTTTTCATGTATATATGTTTATTTTTTTATAAATGCATTTATTTTGAATGGTAAAATATATTTTTGCATTATTTGGTAATATTGTGTAATTATTAAATAAAATAAATCCGTTTTCTTTATTTTTTATTGCTTTTTTTTAAAATGATATATACGGACCGATCCCGGTCCATATAGTCCCTAAACAGTAGCTTTTTTATTTTTTTTTTTCTATGTTACATTTGGTAAACTTTAAAATTTTTCATGTATAATATAATTAAACTTTTACATATTTTAAGTCATTATTTGAAGTAATTATTTCAAGCATATTTTATTTTGTTATAAATGCATTTATTTTGAATAGTAAAATATATTTTTACATTATTTGGTAATATTATATAATTATTAAATAAAATAAATCTGTTTTCTTTATTTTTTACCGCTTTTTTTCTTTAAATAATATATACGGACCGGGATCGGTCCATATATTCCCTGAACAATAGCTTTTTTATTTTTTTTTCTAGGTTACATTTGGTGAACTTTAAAATTTTTCATGTATAATATA